TTTAATTTTCGAGACAGGGTTTCTCCGTAGCTTTTGGTTCCTGTCCTGGAACTAGCTCTTGTAGACCTCTTGTAGCTCACAGAGATCCGCCTGCCTCTGCCTCCCGAGTGCTGGGATTAAAGGCGTGTGCCACCACCACCCGGCAACTGTTAGTTTTTTACACAGCACAAAGCTCTTTCTAAAATGAAGAGAGATTTTCAGCCAAGAAAAGCTAACCCAAGGACCTAGGACTCCATAGCACACACAGCCTAGGTTCCAATCCCAGACTCAACCCAAGAAGAAAACAAAAATATCTGTCTGGCATGGTGCCTATAACTTGAGCACAGAAGAAACTGAGGCAGGAAGATTACATACAGTTTGAACCTGGTTTACATAGTGAGACACTATCTTAAAGAGAAAAATAAGAAAACCCCAATAACTAAAAAGAGAAACTAACAGAACTTATTGCCAGCAGAATTACACTTGAGAAAATACCAAAGGACGTTCAGATAGAAGAGGACAGTGTGGAAGCTTTTGTAAAAGAATAATAGGAACTCAAAATGCTCCATCATGGGCTCATTTTACTTCAAGTAACTTTTGAAAAATTAACTATTAAAGGTGAAAAATAAAATGTATTTTGGAAGTTATAATACTTGTGTGATAAAATAAATAATAACAGAAAAAGACGGAAGGAAGAAAATGCAAGTATGGAGTTCATAAGGTTTTATTTGTTTTGTTTTTGTTTTTTGTGCAATAGTTTATATGTAACTTAGACTGGTATGAAGTCTGTGATCCTCCAGTCTCAGCTTCCTGAATGCTGGGATTAAAGGCATGTGCCACACTATGCCTAGCTATGTAGATATGCATAGCTATGTAAGAACTATGTAAGATTCTATACTGTGAAAAATCGAAGATGTATGTTATATCAGGGAAATATTCTTTCAGGGAAAAATTTTGTCAGCATCAGAAATATACAGTGGGATAACACCACATAACACAGGCCAAAGTATGATAATATAAATATCTTTTTTTATTCTAAGGTTATTTATTTATTATTTGTACAACATTCCTTCCATGTATGCCTGTATGCCAGAAGAGGGCGCCAGATCTCATTATAGATGGCTGTGAGCCACCATGTGGTTGCTGGGAATTGAACTCAGGATCTCTGGAAGAGCAGTCAGTGCTCTTAACCTCTGAGCCATTTCTCCAGCCCCAATATAAATATCTTTATGCCATCACTTTTAACAAATGAAAACAATTGTCAAGTTTTACTCAAGGAGAGATATAATCTGTATGTTTATTAAGGAGCTTATATTAAGGCTAGTAAGATACCAGAGCAGGTGAAAGCCGAGGACCTCAAGCCTAAGGACTGGAGTGCAGCCTCTGGGATTCACGTGATCAAGTCGACAGCCAACTTTGCAAGCTGTCCTCTGACTTCACACGTGCATCCATATACATTCAGCAAATAAATAAATAAAAATTTAAAAGAAACTTTACAATTTTTTAAAAAGAAAAAATGTTGAAAAAGAACTTAGTTTATTTAAAATACCTAAAAGAAGACTATACATTATTTTACTGACAAATTACACTAAATGTTTAAGAGAAAGAATGTTGGGGCTGGAGAAGACAGTTCAGTGGTTAAGAGCAGTTGTCGCTCTTGCAGAGGACCTGGGTTCAGTTCCCAACACCCTCATGATGGCTCATGACCATCTATATATAACTAATTCTAGGGGAGCCAATGTCCTCTTCAGACCTCTACTGGCACTAGACATGTACAAAGTGCCTGTACACCCATGCAGGCAGAACATTCATAACAAAAGTAAATCTAAAAATAAGAGAAAATATTAATTGGACAAAAGCTTTTTTATAAAATGAAGTAGAATATATTTTCTAATCAGTTCTGCAAAGCTGGCACTATCCTAATTACAAAACCAGACAAAACATAATGAAGACAAACTTCCATGAAAGATCTATAAATCAAAGAAAAATCCCTCATACATTTGGCAAATCAAATCTATATAACAACAGATAAAGAGGTTACTTCATAATGACCAGAAAAAGTTTTAACTCCAGAATGAAAGGTTAGTTTAACATTGGAAAATCCATTATGGTCAACTGGGGTAATAGAGCAAAGAGAAATGCCACAGTGATGTAGAAATGAAAAATAGAAAACACAGAAGGCAGAAGACAGATAAAATGGTGCCTCACGTGTAAGTGAAGACAGGAGGGAGAAGAAGGGAAGGAGATGGGTGGCTGGGTACAGAAGTATCTTGGAAAGGTAATAGTTGAAAATGGAAAATGCTAGACTTAAGGCAGAAGGATCAGGAGTTCAAGGTTGTTCTCAGCTACATAGCTGAGTTAGAGACCAGTGTGAGCTACACAAGACCCTGTCTCAACAGTGCAAAAGTTCAGCATCTAACAGATAAATGACTGTCACATAAGGCGTAATGGTTTGCAGGGTTTGAACACATAGACAGGTGCACAGAGGGAACAGTGGACATGTGAGTAAAGCTGACAGCTTACAGTTTTGTCATCCAGAAGAGTAAGATTTTGCAAATGTTGGGCCTTGATAAGTCACCGTTCATGCTATAGTTTCTAAATAATAAAGAAAAGAAAGAGATTATTTAACTTGATGATTTAGGAGCAGGGACAGGAGTGGTACCTAATCCCAAAAAAGACAATAGGAGCCCCTTTTAAAGAGCAGATTGAAACCCAAATATGAGTAATCACTTCTGGTATAAGTGGATCAAGTGTTCCAGTTAAAAGATAAAAGTATTAGGGCAGACCAGACGGCTCAGAAGTTAAGAGCAGTGGATGCTCTTCTAAGGTTTTGAGTTTAATTCCCAGCAACCACATACATGGTGGTTCCTAACCATTTATAATGGTATCGGATGCCCTCTTCTGGTGTGCAGGCATACATTCAGACATAGCACTCATATATAGAATATAAATCTTAAAAAATATTTTAAAATATAAAAATATTAAATTGGAATTCTAAGAAATTTAAGTTAGTGCTGCTCACTAGGACCCTTGAGGGCATAAGGATTCAGAAATGTTACAACTGAAACAAAGAAAAACATACTACACAGATACCAACCAGATGCACAATTGTATAAAATCAGATAAAATGCACAGCATAGCAGACACAGTAATGTGGGCAGGGGTCTCAAATATAGCAACAGCTTTTAATATGTTAATATCCTGTGACATAGAGATGTGTGTATGTGGACAAGTATGCCACAGAAAGCATGTGATCATAGGACAGCTTTGGATTTGTTCTCTTCTCCTACCCTTATGTAGACTCCAGGGACCACAACTTATGCCATCAAATACCTTTATTTACCCTGAGACTTTTCACCAGCCCAGTCCGGTTTTTTTTTTTATCATCTTTAAGAGCCTTGGCGTACTCTGCAGGATTGTCTGGGGAAGAGAGAATCTACATGTGTGAGGTTAGATCTGAAAGCAACATAAGTTTTGCGTATGCCTACATTTTATTAGCAGAACTTGGCTCATAAACCAACAGACAGGACTGTGTGTTAGTCAGTGGCATGTACCTGTGTGACCATCAGGCTGAGGAAATTATTTGGGGACATATTAAGCTTTCCACAGTTTGTAATTATAAAGATTTCAATTCAGAGGAAAACTAATTATAAACTTAGATAAACCTAACAGCATAACTTGAGAATGGTCAAATAGACATTGACAGCAGTTCTAAGAAAAGTGAACACATAACACAGTGAAGATTTTGAACATAGCTACAATTGATGGAACAAATAAGCAAAAACAAACAAACAAAAGTTTGGAAGGATATCCAAAAAAAAGTATGCGGCCACTTAGTCAGCAGGATTAATACACCCAATGAGTTCCATTCAAAAAGTGAGCAACAGAGGTCCTCTCAAACTCTTCTTCTAGGAGTGCAAATTATTATAGCTGCTGTGAGAAATACTGGGCTTTCTGTAGAAGATATTGAATTTCATACTTGCCTGATAAAGCAGTCACTCTTCTAGATGGATATGTACACCTAGGTACCTGTGTGTGTGAGGTAGATTAGCAGAAAGGTCTTCTGAGGTTCATATTTGCTCTTAATCAGGCATCTTGGACCAAGGACTGGATAGCCAAGTTATGTATTTTTATTCCAATATTACATGGTAATGGAAACAAGCCGTAGCTGCAGCAACAACAGTGTAGAACAACAAAATGCAAAAATGAGAATATAAACAACAAAGCCAGTCGGGGTGGAGCACACCTTTAATCTCAGTTCTTTGGAGGCAGAGGCAGACAGATCTTTTTGAGATTGAAGCCAGCCTGATGTACAGAGAGAGAATATGAGTCTATTTATATAAAATTCAGAAGCAAGTAAAAATAAGAAAGAAAAGAAAACCGTAGTATGTTCTAGGGTTGTTTACCTGGATTTTAACTGTAGTGAGAAAAGCAAAGAACTACAACCATAAAAGTTAAGTTTCTTTTTTTTTCTTTATTTATTTTTTAGTTTTCAAGACCGCATTTCTCCCTTTAGCCCATGCTTTCCCGGAATTTACTCTGTATACCAGGATGGCCTTAAATTCCCTGAGATCTGCCTTCTTGAGTGCTGGGATTTAATGTGTACACCACCACTACCCAGCCAAAGTAGTGGTTTCTTGGAGGTTACAGAATCATTGCATTCAGAGCAAAGTATTTAATATTTCTGGAGTTCTGGCAGCACTCCATTACCTGACCAGGGTGGTACTAGGCTCACTGTGTAATAACGATGGTAACACTGTGTGAATGTTACCTCAACTTTGCTATGTTTATGTAATAATTTAGCATAAAAGAAACAAAGGAAAAAAGAATCAAACTTTATAATGCATGGTGTGATCTTTAAAGTATAGAAAAATCATAGTACATGTCCATATAGAATGATTAAAAATATTTATCGTGAACTTTCATTTTATAAAAATGTATGCTCTGGAATTCTGTATTTTAGAGCTTTTAACATTTTCCAGCTGCTTTAAAGCTGACCAGGCCTTCTTCTTGATTCTCAGGTACAAGATCCCCATTACTTGAAGGGTAAGGTTGGCACTGCTCAACGTCTTGTGGAAGCTTCTCCTTCACTCCTAGCCTCCCCGAACCTCCTTACAGCATATGACACAGGTATGCTGTTAGAAATTTTTAATATGGGCAGACTTCTTTTTTAAACTGTTACCTTTTTGCTTTGCATAAAAATAAGATAGTTCCAAAACATGCTGAACTTGCTGGCTTTTAGCCATAGCAGTTTCCTTTTTAGACAGTTGTTGAAAGACCTGGGTTTGTTTTGTTTTTGACTGCATCTAGCTTTATTTTCTCTCTTTTTTAAAAAAAAAAACAAAAACAAAAACTCGTGTGTGTGTCTGTATTTGTGTGTGTGTTTTGGGGTTTGTGCACAGAATGCAGGACATCTTGTGAAGTCGTGTGTGTGTGTGTGTGTGTGTGTGTGTGTGTGTGTGTGTTGGGGGTTGTGCATCAGAATGCAGGACGTCTGTGAAGTCCAGAAGAGGGTATAAAGATAACTTGGAGCTTGGAAGTACAGGCACTTGTGAGTTGCCTGAAATGGGTGCTGGGATCCAAACTCAGGACCCTTTTAAAAGCTCTTAACTGCTGAGCCATCTCTTCAGCCCTCTTTCAGTTTTTTAAAGCCAGCATTAAACTGTGATCACAATGGACAGGACCTCTGGGGCTAAAGGATGATTTAATAACTTCAGCAAACAAGATTAGCGGCCTTGCTGCCTTGCCAGGCCCACTCTGAAAGTTCTTTCTCTGCATCTCACCACAGAAGCATGCCTTCTGACGGCCTGCTGGCCACTGCTCCACATGGGACTGTGCCTTTGCCTTCTTAACCGTCTTACAATAGGGACTTGAAAGGGGGAAAATACTGTTCTAATCTCTTATTTGTGATTGAAAAAAATAAAAAAGGAAAGGACATGACTATTTCTAGTATGGTGATGATTGAGTGACATTTTATACTTGGAATTAAGAACCCATAATATGTTACAACATTAAGATAAATACAAAAAGGGTTTGAAGTATTTGGTATTTGCAAATTGAAAGTTAATACATGGCTACTTTTGATCAGTTAAAAAGTAGCCAGAAAACTGTCATTTAAGTTTCCTTTCTAAACCCAGCAGCATCACAGTGTCACCCCCACCCCATAGTTAACAGTTCTTTCTGTCTGTGAAGTAGGATAGTAGCCAATAAGTCTCCTCAGTCATTGTAATCTTCTCCACCCAGGTTCACTGGAGTTTTTGTGCTGTGAATTTCAGGCTGGTTGTACTGTCATGAGAGCTTTCCCTGCCTGGCTTTGACAAGTAACACTGAACTTGTTACAGATGGGTATATGCAGAGGCTGGTTCCTGGCTTCATCAGCCCTCCTTGTAGGCTAGTGTGTTCTTGTCCGGAGGCACAATGTCTGCACCTCTGTTCGGTCACTAGAGTCTGCAAGATGCTTCTGTTCTAACTTTGTCATGTACTCTTCCTTGAATAACTGAAATGTTTCTGCATTGTTGTGTCAGTAGTTCCCTCATTGAGTATTTGCTTACCTAAGAGACAGTTCAAATAGTAAATAGGAAAATACATGCCTGAGTCTTTATTTCTGTAAGTTCTCAGCCATATGGTTCTACTATCACTTGTATGTAACCAGTTGTTTCTTGTAAATTGAATCGTATTTCAGGTCTGCTTAGAGATAGTCAGATGCCATTTCTGGCCAGCAGAGCTTCCTGATTGCTAGGCACAGTGTTTGGTCCGTGACAAAGGCTGCCCTCCTTACTTTCTGGTCTCTTTAGGTGTTCTCCACTCATCTTGAAGCTTCTTTATTGCCACCTGCAGCTGCCTGCTTTTTCTCAGCAGCTCTGATTTCCTTTGTAGGAAGTGGGATCTTGGGGCTATGGGCACTCATGATGTGGGAGCTTGGTCTTTTTTCCTCTCATGCTGAAAATCTTGGTTCCTAAAAGACTTAGCATATTCACTCAGCTGTTTTAACCTGTTCAAGTGTGTGGTTGTTTTAAATAACAATACCAGCAGCAACAGAAGACCTAGCTAAGATGAGCTATATTCCCTTGCCACATCATCAACTGGTTAGATAGTTAATGCACGTGTTTCACTGTTTTTTAAGGGAAGAGGGTCTTTATTTTATTTGTATTGTGATTTTACAAAACCTTTTCATGATTCCAAGTCACAATTAAATACTTTTCAAAAATCTGAGCTTCTATTCCTAATTCTTCACAATGACCAAAAGATAGATATCTACAGTTTCTCATCGTTTTCCAGAGTTGGAGAGGAAGAGCTGTTTTCTTTCTTAGCCCCACGCCCTCCCTAGGTGTGGCAGTGTCAAGTGTTCAGTGAAGAGAGGGGCAGAAGATTTGAATTAGAACTGGAGCAGAGTTTAAACCCAGCAGAAAAGGGAGAGTCTAAGGGAGAATGGAAGGAGGAATGAAAGTTGCCAACTGCAAATACCACATTTTATCCTAAAGTTTTAAACATTTTAAGCTCTACTTAATGTAGCCGTAATGTTTTTTGCTCTTTGAATCCATTTTTCTGTAAAGGTAACGCTCTAGGTAAGGGAATCACAGCCCCCTCTCTCTCCTCTCACCTCACTCTTGTAGCCAGGCAGAACCTCCCCTGAAAAGATCTTGTCTGCTGCCTGACACCTACACAGTGGCTTGAGCTTTGGGTCCTGCTCCTACCTTTCTGTCTAGAAGTCAGGACTCCAGCTATGGGCCACGGGAGCTGTTGTGGGGAGGCTGCTTGTTTGTTCCCAGCTGCTCAGCCCAAAAATAACCATATAGAAACTGTATTAATTAAATCACTGCTTGACCTATTAGGTCTAGCTTCTTATTGGCTAGCTCTTACATTTTAATTTAACCCATTTCTACTAATTTGTGTATCACCACATGGCTGTGGCTTATCCCCAAGATTCTATCCAGTGTCTGTCTCTGGCTGGACTCCATGGCTTCTCCTGACTCTGCCTTCTTTCTCCCAGCATTCAGTTTAATTTTCCCCACCTAGCTTTATTCTGCCTTATCACAGGCCAAGGAAGTTTTTTTATTCATTAACCAATAAAGGCAACACATCAACAGGTCTGCATCTAAGAGGTGCTTTAGAACTCCTAAGTTGTAGCCTGGAGAGATGGTTTAACAGCTAAGAATACTGATCACTCTTAGAGACGATCTGGTTTTGGTTCCCAGCACTAACAATATTCAGTGAACAATCACCTGTAACTCTAGCTCCAGGAGCTCCAGTGCCATCTTCTTGCCTCCCTGAGCGCCATGTATGTGGAGCACATATAGGTGAGATAAAACACTCATACATAAAAGATAAAAAAATAAATAAATCTTAAAATAGTCTTACTTATATGAACCAAAGGCGTAATGCAGAGCTAAATGTAACTGCTATTTTCTTATAGTTGTAAACTATTATCTGTAATTTAGTTTTTTGCTCCTGTCAGTTTGCGTGGGTTGGTCTGTTGAACCAGGACTTTTAATAATGTTGTTAAGTTGAGTGAGTTAGAGGTGTGGAAACAGACCTCAGGATGTGTTTATGAGCATGTTTCCAGAAAGACTTACTAGAAGACCACCATGTGTATAGACTGCATTACTTCATGGGCTGAGGTAGTAGAATATATAGAAAAGGAGAAAGTGAGCTGAGCACCAGCACTCGTCTCTCTGCTACCTGACTGCAGATGCCATGTGACCAGCGCCACCTGCTCCTGCTGCCATGCCTTCCCCACCATTTTGAACTGCAAGCTCAAACTTGAGCTAAAATCAACCCTTCCTTCCTTCAGTTGCTTTGGTCGTAACAGTAACAGAACAGCCACAGGTAGTGAAACATGGGTGTTTATGCTCTGCTCACATGTTCATATGATCTTCACTCCTGTGCTCTGCAGTAGGGGCCATTTTCTTTGTTTATCTGATGCTTCCTTTTTTTTTTTTTTTTTTTTTTTTTGGTTTTCCCCGGACTTTCCAGTTCTTTGGAACACTCTTTTGTCAGCAAATGTACTTTTGTTTCTAGTTTCTAAGCTTCAGAATTAAAATGAAGCGAAATCACAGGAGTACAGACCTTATGCTGAAGTTACAAGTGTGAAGTCATTGTCTATTCTTCTGTATGAGACATGAAAGCCAAGCATCCACAGTAGCTGGCTGGAATCTGTAAAGCTATGTCCTCCTATAGAGGACATAGATATGGTGGGTAATATATGGCCATCAGGTACAGTAGATTTTTCCCCTGAAATTATAGCAGATAGTGAAGAATAAAGCACTAAGTCTGCTTGAAGAACAGCATAGAAGCATAGAGTCTTACAGTATAGCAGTACAAGGATGCAGACTTCGGGGCTGCTGCTTATGCTCACTACTGGCCTTGGTTCCTCTTCAGGGTCCTGTTGTATATGAGCGATAAGTCCATATTCTAGACATGCAATTGCCTTCACTGTAACTCCTTGTCTAGGGGTGCCATCTTCTGTTTAGTTAAAGCTAACTCTTCATATGTTGTAAGAAAACATTCTTTTCCCACTTGATTTCCAGGAGGATGGAAGCTGAAGTGTCAGTGGTAGCCTGGGTTTCTATCATGTGGGTGATCTACCATATTATGCAGATTTGTATATGTTCAGTTTCTGGGCATTGGAAACTCCATGTTGCTTTCCCAGTTCAGTCTGTTAAATGTTAATTGACAGAACCCTAAAAGTTGCTTCAAACACCATTCTTTATCCCTTTGACTGAAACAGCATTATAACATGAATAATAAAAACCCAGAGACAGATATCAGAGTTCAAAATGAAGATCAGAAAAGCAAAGTGGCTAGCCACTACCTCAGACCAAAATGGGAGATCCTGCCTCCACAAATCCTCAGACTGAGACTGAGCCTGAGCCTGAAACCTGTCTCCTTCCATCCTATATTCTTCTCTAGTACTGGGATTAAAGGTGTGTGTCATTGCTGCCTGGTCTGTATGGTAGACTAGTGTGGCTGCTTTGCCCTCTGCTCTTCAGGTAAGCGTTATTTATTAAAACACAAATAATATACTACTATATATCATAAGCTTTCTTCAATAGGATTATAAATATAGAATTTCATTAGCTTATGATTGCTAAATCTAAATTTTAGGACAGAGGTATACTGTGTCTATAACC